GATTTGAAAATGGTTCTAAGGGGGTATAGTCCGATTTTGGGTTGAAAGTCAACCTTCAGCGCCACAAATGTCATCGCTGCATTTCAGACTCCGAAGGAACAAACCCTCAAGTCTAAGAACCCCCGAGCCGCAGTCCGGAACCATGAAGTCTAAGCTACAGGCTCCCAACAAAAAATTCCCTGAACCACGTACCTTCCCCAATCCCTCAAAACTCTTAACTGCCTTGCGTCCTCGCTGTCGTGGTATTACGCAGGAGATCGCAGGAGGAAAGGGGCTTTCGGGGGAGAACTAATCTTCAAAATCTCAGCCCCGTGTTCCCTCTAACTAAGCCTCTAAACCCCAAGCAAGCCCCAAGCCTTAAGCCGTTCATAAACCCTAAGCCCCAAGCCCAAACAACGAACCCGAAGCCGCAACCTTATCCTGCCCCCAGGAGTCCGTCTCTCCGCCCCCAACTCCCACGCCTCTGGCAACTTCCTTGGGCGCCGCGAACCCGGCAAAATGAGTGCAGAGCAAGGGATTAGGGGTTAGGGTATGAGCGGCTTCGGGTTAGGGAGTAGGGGGAGGATGTTGTTTTGCTGATCTTGGTTCTCCTGCAGTGATTTTGATGTTGGTTTTGCTTTCATCGGCATCATCATCACCATATCATCACCATCACTACCATCATCATCGGCATCAACAACAACACTGGCAGCATCTTGCTAGTTGTCAACATATGTCAACCAGCTTCGGTCTACGACGGAGGAAGTTGAAGCTGGTCTGCAAAGGCCAGCTGATCAGCCAAAAGCCCTAGGCCGCTTTATACCATTGATGTTACTACTTAGGAGCCCCGACTTCTCGCGAACTCGCCCGCACCTTGCTTCAACAAAAGAAACACAAGCGATGATAACAATCTGAGACATGCTCCCTCAGCTCTTTCTCCGAAAGGATTTAATTACAGGTCTAGACCCTAAAGCACTACAGGTCTAAACCCCTGAGCACTACACCCAAGCACCAGATTAGACCGTGACCCCCCAACCATTATTACCTAAACTATTTTGGGCGTTCCTTTATTTTAATTACAGCATAATGTGCCCCAGAACCTCATTTTACTTATTATACTAAACCCCTAAACCGTAAACCCTAGACCCCCAAACAACCGTACCTAGACCCCTGAGCCCATTTTTTAAAGCCCTGAAAAGCCTAAACTACCCAGGCTGAGAACTTGTTTGCCTTGATCGGCGATGTCTCACCCAACGCGTATCTGTCTCAGACTACGACGGGTTCAGGGTTTGGGTTTAGGCGTTAGGATAGGTTAGGATAGATACCCAAAAGGGTCTAGGGCCGTTTAGGATTTAGGGGCTAATGTTTAGGGGTAAGTTTAGCCTACGTCGCACCGTGTTTTGAGAGAACGTCAACGTCGTCGTATCTACAAAGCTTGGCATACTGTAGCATGAATTAGAAGCTGCCCCCACCCTGTAATAGTGGTATAATAGGAATATAATAGGGCCCTAATATAATCCTATACAATCCTTATGGTCACTATTACAGGGTGGGGGCAGCTTCTAAAGCATGAACGACTTTTAGTGCAGCATGTCTTTCCTCGTTCGCGGTGTGGGAAGTTCCAAAAATAGGGGACTTACTGTAGTAACCTAAACAGTGGGATCCTTATTATAAGGACCCAAAATAAGGTACCCCTAGTTTTCGGAAACTCCCATATCACAAGGATTTCAGGCGGTAGTTTGCCGTTCCGTTGGGTTTGGGCAGGTCCTTCTAGGTGGGACTCTGAAGAAGCCCTATCAATGGTGGCTTTGACGTCCGCAGCCCTCGACTGTGTCGCAAGGCATGAAAGCCAAGCCTCAAACTCCATCTCTCTGAAACCCAAATTCCTGATACGAGTAAGGTTTTGATCACATTCGTATTAGGGTTTTGAGCTGAGAACTTTACATTTTGCTTGAAATTACGCCGAACTGCTTACTTCAAGTCATCTCCAAGTTGAAACCCAGGCAGCAGGCTCTCCAGGGTTCATGTTTGGGAAAAGAAGATGATTAGGGTTTAAGGTCTAGGGTATAGAAGATGAGTGGGTTTGTGGAGGTTCATGGCCCAGGCTTTCGGATTTAGGTAAGGCTTCTGGGGTCTTAAGTGGCTTTCCTTCAGGTGTCGCGAGTCGGGCTATGGATGTAAGAGGCTTACCCCTAAGCTTAAGCCTTCTTCGCGCTACTGTCAAAGGGGAAAAGGAGGGACCCTTAATAAGGACCCCTAGGTATATACCCTTAATATAGCTGGTATATACCCATTATATAGCCCATTATAGGCTAGGGGTCCCCATTAAGGGTCCCTCCTTTTCCCCTTTGATACTGTGCAGTGAGAAAGCGAGGCCTCCAATACCCAGTGCGCCAGCCAGCACAGCTCGGCTCCTAGTGGTGTGCTTAGGGTTTAAGGGTTTAACGTGTGCAGCGTTTAAGGGTTTGGGTTTCGGGTCTACTGTAGGGTGTTTATCGTGTTTCAGGGTGCAAATAGATAGCCTTATGCAACGATACTCTCTCATCGGCCTGCTGCTACTATTTTGGGGGGGGCCTGAATAGTACTACTGTGTACACATGCACCATGGCCATCTAAACCCCGTTCTAGGCATCAACGCATCGGTGTTATTGTTTTATAGTTCGGTTTACCACAGAGCTCGACTCAGATTGTCTTTGGCTGGCTGTCGGGAAGGTTCACGGTGGGATCTGTTTTTTTGGAACCCCCGAAGCGAGCTGGGGTGACTTGATTCGGCGTCTGCAGTTAGCTGGAACTTGTTCTACAGGCATGAAAGCATCGCACGGCTTTTGGCTTCTACGACGGCTTGACGGCAGCTGTTTCATTGCTCCCGTAATTTTCCTTCGTTCTGACAACAGAAATGCATTTTCTGCGGCTGAACCGGCATTATGTCTTTTGTACCTTCAGGCGGAATTGACTGACATCCTTCTGATAATTCCGTTGTTCTGACTCACCGTGTGGGGACGACAAGCAGGATGGTAGTGACTGGTAGGGACGATACGGGCGATGGTGACGACGATGCAGACGGTGATGATAATGATGATGATGATGATGACGATGATGTGCGATGGCGATGTTGATGGTGGTGATGTTGCTGTTGATGGTGATGGCGAGGATGATGATGATGATGATGATGATGATGATGATGATGTGCGTTATTGTGATCAAGATGGTAGTCATGATGATGACCATATCGGCGGCTTCGATGACAGTTGATGATGATTACTACTATGATGACAATGACAATGATGATGAAGATGAAGATAAACATGGTGACTTGTTGTGCGATGTCGGTGCAGTGGATGATGTTGATGAAGAGAGCAGGACGTCGATGACCATTACGGCATATTTCGGCAGTGTTGTGGTTGAAGGACAAGAAGATGACGGTGACGACGACCATCTTCATGGTGGTGGAAACAATAGTGGAAGAAAAGGGTGGTAGCTTCTTCTTGTCATTTTGGAGGACATGCCGCTTGCTCGGGTAGAAAATCTCAGGTCTCCGTCACTAGAAATTACTGCTTCAGTACGCTGGAAGCACCGAACCGCCCGACAGGTGCCAAAGCAGCCAAGTGCTGTCAGCTCGCCACCAAGCGCCTCTTACCCCGGTGATGCGACCAGGCAGACCGAAATCAGCAGAACTATAAGAAGCCGCGCCATGACGGGAGTTTACCGTTTAGGCGCAGGTGCCAGTAAACGAAGCCTGAAGCCGGATCCTATCCCTTGGCCTCGAAGCCAAAACCCGAGGCCCTAGGTCAGAAGCTCCCAACTAGGCAGCTCCAAACTGAAGTGGAAACGATTTTCGGCCAAGATGGGGCAAGCAAGAGGGGGGACGAGGGAACATCCATAAGAGCCATTTGGAGTTCGCAAGTAATAGTGCTGAATTCTTGTTACAATAAGCAATGCTTTGCAAAGATCATGGGCGACCGATTCTCGGACGGAATGTCCCAAACACAAACTGGTCCTCAGAACATCCCTGGCCAGCTTCTCGAATGACAGGAAGCTCTTGTGTCTAAACAATAAATCCTTAACCTTGCGGTTTAGAGCTCAAGTGTGCTAACCCCCAACCTTGAGTCCCCTAAACCCTAAACCCTAAACCCCAAACCTTGAGTCCTGAACCTTGGGGTTGGGAGCTCAGATTTGATAATCCTGGACCTTAAACCATAGGCCTTGGGGCCTTGGGGTTGAGAGCTCAGGCTTGTTCTGCCTAAATCCCGACAGCTCAGGTTGGTTAGGCTAAACCCTAAATTCGAAACTTAGAGCTCCGGGAAAGGTGGGGAGTTTGGGGTTTGGCGGTTCTCATTAGAGTTTTGATGAGTTGAACCACATCAAGCTAACTTCCATGACAAAGACCCTAACCCCCCAAAACCCTCTTGAAGGGGTTTAGGGTTTGGGGAATAGGGGTTTAGGGGTTTAGGGTTTAGGGTTTTCAAGCTAACTTCCGCAACAAAGGCCCTAAAACCCCAAACGCTCAGGTTCTGAGCCGCAGGCTCAGAACTTCGAGAATGGCAATAGTTACCAATACTATTTTGGCGGGGGGTTCCTTAGTATGATTATGGTAGAGTATACCCCCACACCCTTGTTTTAAAGTATTTCAGCACCTAGATGATATAATTATGGTATAGTATACCCCCAAAAGCTTATTTTACGTATTAGGGCTCCTAGATTAAGGACGCGTTGGGCACGTTTGCCCCGCATTTTGTTGTGCAGACGCCATGCTTGCAGAATGTTGTTGCTGGAATGGTGATGGTTGTGTTTCATAACTCGTATCAGAAACCTAGGAAAACGCTGGCAAGGACGATGAATTTGGGATTCGACAAGAGAGACGACACAGATGACGACAAGGAAAACTGTTGGAACATGATATTGTTGCAACTGGTTTGGAAGGGTGCATTCAGGAGGTCGAACTTTGGAGTTCGACCTTTGAAAATGGGAATGCTTCGAGCAATTGCGCGGCAGGGAAACCTTGTTTTGCGTGTGCACGCCTGTCACTGTGCGAGGCCTAGCCAGGACGTGTCTGTCCAGGCCACAGCGGGAGAGACTTTGTCTTCACAGAAAGCTCTGTAAGCAACCACAGCATCGATCACACTTTGCAATCCAGGCTCTTGGTTCAGCTGGAAGGACGCCAGGGCATCAACGTGGTCGCGATCTTTGCTCAGGCATTTCTGTCCGAGCTTGTTGGTTCTCCGCAGAGCCTTTTTGATCGTCCCGGCCAGAGATTCTGCACGTTGGTCGCCTCCCACCATTGTGACCTTTCTGGCAGTGATCTTCGCCCGGTTGCCAAAACTCAAGTTTGAGAGAGCATGCGAACCCAGTTGTTTTCTCGGGACCTTCGTCACGGGGGTGTATTCTGCTCTATTGTGTCTGGCTGTCGCCGACACCATTCCGAGAGCTCGCCATGCCTTTTGGAGGCCTGTGCCAGCATCGCTGGCGATGGCGTGGTCACCCTTGGGAACCTTTAGGGGGGATAGCTTCATGCGGGAGGTATTTGTTTCCTAGGGGTTCAAGTAAAAGCTTCAGGTCCAAGGTTTAAGGTTTTTAGGGTTTAAGGCCTTAGGGGGTAAGCATGAAAGCTTCCTTGGGCCTTCTTGGAAATGATGCCGATGACCTCGTCGTAGGATTCCGGCGGACCAGGCGAGCCGGCTTTGCAGTGCTTGTTGGGAAGCGGGTACACCACAGACTGCGGGCCGGAGCGGTGAGCTCCTATGAGCAATCGCCCACGGTGCTCTGAGACTTTGCCATCTGGAGTCTTTCTTTTCCTCGAAGTGGTTCTGGTGCCGTCCCACTCCAGGACACCTGGCTTGAAGGTCGTGGCTGCATTCTTCGCCATCTGCTTGAAAGCAAGGGCATGCCGTATCAGAGCATAGTGCTTGTCGGTGCTCTCATGACTTCGGGCCAACAAATGGGCCGCAGCATCCTGAGGAATCTTCAGGCCTGCGATGTAGGCTGCACGAAGAAACCCTTGACAATCAAGTTGCTGTCCTCCGCGCTTCTGTCGCCAAAATGGCGCGTACGCAAGTCGCCAGAGCAGCCCTTGCAGGATTCAGGTTTTAACCGAAGACTAGACCAGGCCCCCAAAACAATCTAAAACCGAAAACCGCCCCACAAAAGAAGAGGTTTTGATAGGATTGCTGTACTTGTGCGTGTCAGTCAAGTGACATGGCCTGCCTTTGCTACATGCTCTGTTGCTGCAGCGCAAAGTGTCCCAGCGCGTTGTTGGCACCATCCTCGCTTGGCATGCCCAGCAAGTTCTGTTCTTCTTTTGGCCGAAGACGTTGTGCTTCGTCAACCAAGCTGCAGCGGTCTTCTCAGGCATCTGCACGATCTCTTCGTAAGACAACTGTGACAACCTTCTGAGAGGTGCCAGCTGTCTCTGCTTCTGCTTGTCTTTCGCAGGCCCGGCGTAGCTAAGGCCTTCTGAGTGAAACTTTCGGTTAACCCCCAATTTTCGAGCGATGCTCTGGCTTGGTGGCTTTTTCCTGCCAGACGCATATCTCGGAACATCATCCCCCAGCTTGCCTTTCATCTTGACCCCACATGAAAGTCTGCGGAATGTAACAGTGATTCAAAGTTCGGCAAGGCTTCAAGTTCACGCTTCGGGATTAGGGTTTCAGAGTCTTGGGGGTCGGAGTTCAGCCTGCAGGGCGTCGCAGCAAGAGAAGCAAGCGTGCTCACTGAACATGTTTTGGCGTCCGTTGCGGGTAACTCAAAATCCAGGGCAGAGCGAAGCACGACATCACGGCATATTTGCCGTCGAGGCGGCAGGCATTGACAAGAGCCCGACTACTAACAGAAGGTGGTCATCTACTATGTTCATCCAAAGCAACCAGAGCTGGAACAGTTGACTATGTGGGGCCAGGACGAGCATGTTTCTGCAAAGAAGTTCCTGGGACTCCATGAGATCTGCTGCCAAGCGCTCCAGATAGGACCTCCAAGATGAACCCGCAACTTCCTGGCAAAGGCTTAATGTTTAGGGCTTAGGTCTTTAAGGCTTTACGGTTTAAGGTGTTTAGGGCTTAGGGCTTCAAGGCTTTATGGTTTAAGGTTTAGGGTTTTGAGTTCTACAGTCCTGAACACGTACACGGAAAGACATATCCAGAGAGCGTCTCGCAGGGCGAACGACCTGGTGAAGCTCGAGCATCAGCCAGTCGTCATTGCAAATCAACGTCTGCAAAATATCCAGCAGAAGCGCCAGAACAGTGAGGACATCGTCATCGTCCGTGGCCCGCAACAGCTGCGTCACGCGAAGCGTGGCTTCGCGAAGTCTCTCCAAGTCCTTAGACAATGGAGAAATACGTAGGGATATCTGGAGAGAGAGCAAGAGCACCAGAAGCAGCACTTACAATCGGCTTCCTTTTCCGTTGCTCACGCAGAAGGGAGTGCTGCTGCCGTTTGTACAAACTGAAAAGCACGCCTTGCCTGGGAAGCTGTTTCAGTGAAGGAACAAACAAGCAAAACTTCACGGATGGCTGAGCCACAGCTGAACACGGATGTCTTTACACCATTCCTTCTCGGATGCTGTCAGATCATCGAACCGGTCGGGCGGAAAAGGCTTCTGGAACCAACATCTCGACTCGTCAGCAGAACCTCCAGTGAACCACTTCGAGCAAACAAGCGCAGGCCTGCCTGGAGTTCTGCCACCCTGGAAGATGTAAAAACGCAGTGGATGCAAGCAGCGGCCACACCGGCCCCATTTTGCAGCACGAAGGGTACCCTTGGCAGCTTTCGCCCAGAAGCCTTGCCGGAAGTGTGGCGCCGTTGAAGAAGAGGATGGCACCTCCTGCTCCTTCTCAGAGGCACGCACGTCTTGTAAAGGAACATCCTCCTCCACGTCTTCCACTGGGTCCGACACATTGGACAAAGCGTCTGCGGCATCAGCTGCCTGCTGTGCAGCCTTTGATCGAGCGATAAACATCTGCCATCGAGATGCTGTCACCGGCGCAAGGTCACTCGAAGCAGCGGCTGGTGCAGCGGCTGGTGCAGAGCACAAGCGGACACATCCATCGCAGTGTCTGTCAACGCCTCCGATACTTGCCAGCGCAGACAAAACCTCATCCACCTGCGCTCGAGACTCTGCGGAGAAGTGCCTGTGGACCTGCTCTGCGCGCAGCCAGGGTTGCCCATCTCCCGACAGAAGCATCAAAGCCTGGAGGACTTCTGCACATGGATTCCGGCCAAAAGAAACTCCGGCAGCCACGTCTTCATCCTCTGAGCAGACTGTCAAGGGCGAGAAAGCCTGCAAGGAAAGAGCGTCGCTTCGGATGCTCCATGGCGAACAGGGATCATATCTCGCCTTCTTATGGGGCGGGGTTTGGTCCATCCTGGCTGCTCCCAAGCAAAGAGTGTCAGGCGTACGGCTTCAATGGACGTCATTATGGCTCTGACAGAGGATGCTTTGCCCATATGACTCACAGAGTGACCCAGGGAACTAACAAAAGCCAAGCATCGCTGACGGTGAGGTCGTGACTAAGCTCAGTCCACGCATCGCAGATCAGACTGCTCCAGCGCAGAACCAGCTCGCCAGCAACTTCCATTGCTAGAAAGGCTCGAGTGCCTACAGCCTCTGAAGCCCACGGCTTCACATATGGGGTGACAAGGTTAAGACTGTAAAGTCGAGGGCTTAAAGAGCGGGGCCTCATCAGCCTTGCCAGCATTGCCAGCAACAGGTATCAGCATCACGGTCATCATCAACTCATGATCACCATCAATGCGGGCAGCAGCATCGGCAGCAATATCGTCATCATCATGTCATGATCCAAACGGTCATCATCATGTGCCATCATCAGGTCATCATCATGTCAACATCATGTCATCATCATGCGTCACCATCATGTGAACATCATCATGATGATCATATAGCAGCAACATCGTCACAACAACAAAGTGCGGGGCAAACGTGCCCAACGCACCCTAGATTAAGCTTCAACCCTTGGGACTCCGAACTGGTGTTGGGTGATAGGCCTTGTCTTGAGCTGCCAAAACCTACTTCTGTGTAGGGTCCCTCTAGATTCGATATGGGCAGTTGTCAACTAGAAGACAATTGGCCCGAAAGCATCATCAGCGAAGAGTGTGGGGCTATGTGATAGATCCAGTGTGTAGGATCGTATGCAGATACAGTCAAGAGTCATGGAGTCCATGAGTCATGAGTCATAAAGTCATAGAGTTACAGTGAGATAGCGTCATAGAGTCATAGTGGGATCAAGTCGCAGAGTCATGGAGTCATCTATGTAGCATGCACTTGACTCGATGTAGTTCACTCTATGCTCTATGTGTGGGAACGCTTAATCGAGATCCCCGTAGCGTGAGGGCTCATAGCCCGACCTGGACCTCGAGAGGCACATACAGTCAAGAGTCATGGAGTCCATGAGTCATGAGTCATCATAGAGTTACAGTGAGATAGCGTCATAGAGTCATAGTGAGATCAAGTCACGAGTCATGGAGTCATCTATGTACCATGCACTTGACTCGATGTAGTTCACTCTATGCTCTATGTGTGGGAACGCTTAATCGAGACCCCCGTAGCGTGGGGGCTCATAGCCCGACCTGGACCTCGAGATGCAGATACAGTCAAGAGTCATGGAGTCTATGAGTCATGAGTCATAAAGTCATAGAGTTACAGTGAGATAGCGTCATAGAGTCATAGTGGGATCAAGTCGCAGAGTCATGGAGTCATCTATGTAGCATGCACTTGACTCGATGTAGTTCACTCTATGCTCTATGTGTGGGAACGCTTAATCGAGATCCCCATAGCGTGAGGGCTCATAGCCCGACCTGGACCTCGAGAGGCACATACAGTCAAGAGTCATGGAGTCCATGAGTCATGAGTCATAAAGTCATAGAGTTACAGTGAGATAGCGTCATAGAGTCATAGTGAGATCAAGTCGCAGAGTCATGGAGTCATCTATGTACCATGCACTTGACTCGATGTAGTTCACTCTATGCTCTATGTGTGGGAACGCTTAATCGAGATCCCCATAGCGTGGGGCTCATAGCCCGACCTGGACCTCGAGAGGCACATACAGTCAAGAGTCATGGAGTCCATGAGTCATAAGTCATAAAGTCATAGAGTTACAGTGAGAGTAGGCCGCCACGTTGCTTGCTCGCTCTTTCGCAAGACAGCGTCGAAGCAAGCAAGCAACGGTGCAACCTAGCCAGAGCGAAGAATTCGCGGCCCGCACGGCTCACCGTGGAGTCAAGGGCCGCGCGGCCTGAGGAGGTGCCGGGAGAGGTCATCCCAGGGATTACGGCGGTCCGGAGCCTCATGAAAACTGCTGATTGTAGTTGCAAAGGTTCATCGGGAGCCCCGAGCCTCCATAGCACGCATTATACCAACCCAAGGTATAGTATCATGGAAGAAGAAACATAGCGGCAGCTGACGAACATCCCCAAACGGAAGTCGCAACACTGGTCTCTGAAAGTAGCAGGGAATTAGAGTTTCGCTCTTCATCTCAAACCACAAGAGGCCAGCGTATGTTTCTTAGCCGACCCAACAAACTCCAGGGGAACGCCACGGGCTTAGGGGTCCTTATTTCGTGTCTATCCACACCGGATAATCCACGAGGGCCTAGTAGGACTAATGCAGGGATCACGGTGGTCCGGAGCCTCCTCTAGAAAGATTGATTCTAGCTGCAGACATTCATCGAGAGCTCCAGGCTTCGGTGACACCCTGTGTATCAACCCTTGGTATACTATCTCAGAAGAAGAAACCCGGCGGCATCTGGCAAACATTCCCAAGCGGCAGTCACAACACGGGTCTCTCAAAGGATGATTGGGGATTTAAGATCTATCCTATACCACAAACGGGTCCACCTCGCTGAGCCGCTGCGCGACTCGTGCCGCCGGGAGTCCAGCAGCGGAAGGCAGTGCAGCCATTAGGGATTTGGGAAGACACCGTTCCGAAGTGAAACACCCCACATATATATATACATATATATATATATATATATATTTATGCATTTATGCATATATATATATATATATATATATGTGTATATGAGTATATTATTCTTATCGATACATGCATTTGCCAATCCTGCCAATCCCTCTGAAAGGTTGCCAATTCACCTGTTGCACACCTACCGATTAGAACAATCGAAGAAGCAAATCCCTCTCAAGCCAATCCCTGTGAAGGGTTCCGCGAGCACCGCAAAATGTGTAACTTCACCTCGCGTTCAAGCACTCGACAACGCCAATCCGTGTGAAGGGTTGCAAAATTCATCTCAATGCACATCAGAAATTGCAACTTTACCTCGCGTTCGAACACTCCACCACACCAATCCCTGTGAAGGGTTGCAAAATTCAGCTCAATGCTCATCAAAAATTGCAACTTTACCTCGCGTTCGAACACTCCACCACGCCAATCCCTGTGAAGGGTTGCAAAATGCCAATCCCTGTGAAGGGTTGCAAAAAAAAATGAACTGCACCCAAACCCTGTGAAGGGTTGCAAAATTCAGCTCAATGCTCATCAAAAATTGCAACTTTACCTCGCGTTCGAACACTCCACCACGCCAAACCCTGTGAAGGGTTGCGCGGCGCCCGCAAAATGTGTAACTTTACCTCGCGTTTGAACGCCCGAGGCAGCGAATCCCTGTGAAGGGTTCACGGCGCCCGAAAAATGTGTAACTTTACCTCGCGTTTCAACGCCCGAGGAGGCGAATCCCTGTGAAGGGTTCACCCGGGCGCCTAAAATGTGTAACTTTACCTCGCGTTTGAACGCCCGAGGCAGCGAATCCCTGTGAAGGGTTCACCCGGGCGCCTAATAAGTTAAAAAATGTGTAACTTTACCTAGCGTTTGGGCCCTCGCCCATGCCAATCCCTGTGAAGGGTTCACCCGGGCGCCTAAAATGTGTAACTTTACCTCGCGTTTGAACGCCCGAGGCAGCGAATCCCTGTGAAGGGTTCACCCGGGCGCCTAAAATGTGTAACTTTACCTCGCGTTTGAACGCCCGAGGAGGCGAATCCCTGGGAAGGGTTGCACGGGCACCGCATTAAGTTAAAAAATGTGTAACTTTACCTAGCGTTTGGGCCCTCGCCCATGCCAATCCCTGTGAAGGGTTGTCAGGATATAAAGCATGTTCTGACTACTGCCGTTGTATAGCTGTACTTGGTAGCCCCTTTTGGCACGAGGTGAGTAAAATAAGTAGCCTGTGCCTGCGGTGTGTGTGGTTTGAGGGTTAACCTAAACCCTTCTTGGGTGGCCTTAGAAAGGCTCTTTGGGTCTGTCGGCCATATTACTGGGTTCCTGGATCAGGAGTTCCTGGATCAGGACGAAGGAATGGCAACAGAATAACGTGAGTTAAACGCCCCCATCAATTCAGAAAACAGAAAATGAAAGTGTCTTTCTTTCGGTTGCATGGACAGAAAAGCATTGGTTTGGATCCGATGAAACCTATTTTTAGGAGTTTCCTTTGTCATTCCGAACAAACAGTTTATTGTTCTGGTCTGAAAACTCATACCATCCAGTCACACCACGACAAAGAAACACGAGCACACCAGAGGTATGTACATGTGTGTGTGTGTATGTATATGTACATGTATGTATGCATGTAGTCTGTAGGTATGTAGGTATGTATGTATGTATGTATGTATGTATGTGTACGTATGTGGGGATGTATGTAGGCAACCCACAGGGCACAGGCGGCAAATGGCAGTGGCGGCCCATCGTCGGTTCGGTCGTGTGCAAGAAGGCACACAAGTCCTGCTCCGCCCTAAACCCTAAATCAAATGCCCAGAACAGCCTAAACCCTCAACCTTATGACATCCAAACCTGAACCCCTAAACCGTATGACCCATGAAGCTTAAACCCTAAATCTAAACTTAGTCCTACAACCCTATGCCCAGAGGTAGCTGAACCCTAAGCTTAACCCTAAACCTTAAGCTAAACCCTAAACCCTGAAGCCCGCCCGCTAAGCTGAATCCCAGGCCCCAAGCCTTATCCTGAACCCAAATACAGGCCTAAAGCCCAAGCCATGCCGAAAACCCGGAACACCCTAAACCCTAAACCCTAAAACCCACACCCTAAACCCTAAAACCCTAAAAAGCCTTAAACCGCGTCGTAAACCCTGTAAAACCCGGCCCAAAACCCTTTTAAAACCCTAGAGACCCCGCCCGAAACCCGCCCAGCCCGCCCAAGTAATCTTTTAGGCCGAAACATTACTTGGCAGGTTTTTGGTGGCTACGGCTAGGGTTTTAGGCTTGGGGCTTTGTTTGGGGTGTAGGGGGTTAGTTTTAGGTTTGGGGTTTGGTCTGGGATAGGGGTTATGGGCGACATTTTATGTAGGTTTGGGGTCTAGGTTTAGGCGGCTGTCCCTGCGCCGCAGGTCTATAGGGGTTAGGCGGCTGTCCTTGCGCCGCTAGGAATCTTAGGTTTGGGGTTTGATTTGGGATAGGGGTTATGGGCGACTTTTTATGTAGGTTTGGGGTCTAGGTTTAGGCGGCTGTCCCTGCGCCGCAGGTTTAAAATTTAGGGTCTAGGAGTCTATAGGGGTTAGGCGGCTGTCCTTGCGCTGCTAGAATTTTAGGTTTGGGGTTTGGT